GCAGAGACATTGTTTTAAACTTTAATAGTTCTACATTTATTTTAATATGCATTATTAAAATATGTAACTAGCTCAAGAAGTCTGATTTCACAAATAAAATAGAACCTCCATAATTAACTACCTCCTTACATTGCCCACCTCCTCAAGTTGACCTAATTTCTATAGGCCAGACATGTACTCCATGTACTCAACATACAGTAGGCCTAATTCCTTATGTTGCCCACCTCCATAGGTTGACCAGTTTGTTATAGTCTGTTGGGTAGTCTACTTACAGAGGTTCTACTATATTGCTTAGGACAACATAAGTCAATTCTTTTTTAAATAGGTAAATAGTAATAGAGATTCAGGACAGATACCAAAAGAAAATCATGAAAATGATTTGCTAGTGAATGAAGTTGAAGAGTGCCTATACTAATGTAAGCCTTTTATCCAAAGTCATGGGCTTTGGGAGCATAGACAAACTGGCAGAGGTGTTATTCTGTCAGTAAAATATATCAGCCTTTTTTCCCCCTCCCTCCTCTACTAGTATTCTGAAGAATAAAGAAGCAAAAGAGAGATTTATTTCTGAGTTGATATTATGCTACTTTTTTTCTATTTTTTATTGTTTGAGATACGTTGAGGGTACAAAGAATTAGGTTATACTGATTGCATTTGTTAGATAAAGTCCCTCTTATAATTATGTCCCACTCCAAGAGGTGTTCCATACACAGTGACCCCTTCCCATTTCTCACTCTCCTCCCCTCTCCCTACTTGTTAATTCCCCTACCTACCCACCCCACTTGTATTAGCTCATCTACTGCCTTCATATTAGAATAGAGTACATTGGATTCTTGCTTCTCCATTCTTGTGATGCTTTACTAAGAAGAGTATGTTCTACCTCCATCCAGGTTAATGCAAACGATGTAAAGTCTCCATCTTTTTAAATGGCTAAAGAGTAATCTATGGTATACATATACCACAGCTTATTAATCTATTCCTGGGTTGGGGGCATTTAGGCTATTTCCACATTTTGGTGATTATAAATTGAGCTGCGATAAACAGTCCAGTGCAAATGTCTTTATGATAAAATGATTTTTTTTTTCTTCTGGGTAAATGTCTAGTAATGGAATTGCAGGATCCAATGGGCGGTCTAATTTGAATTCTTTGAGGACTCTCCATACTTTCTTCCAAAAAGGTTATGTTATTTTGCAATCCCACCAGCAGCGTGAAAGTGTTCCCTTCTCTCCACATACATGCCAGCATCTGCAGAGTTGAGATTTTGTGATGTGGGCCATTCTCACTGCAGTTAGGTAATATCTCAGGGTAGTTTTGATTTGCATTTCTCTGATGATTACAGATGATGAGCATTTTTTCACATGTTTGTTGGCCATTTCTCTGTCTTCTTTAGAGAAGGTTCTATTCATGGTATTGGCACAAAAATAGAGGCATTGACATTTGGAACCAAGGAAGAAAACCATGAGATGAAACTAACATCTTATAGCCACTTGATCTTTGATAAACCAAACAAGAACATACACTGGGGAAAAGAATCCCTGTTTAAAATGGTGGTGGGAGAACCACATGTAAAAGACTGAAACTGGACCCATACCTCTCACTACTTATAAAAAATTGATGGATAAAAGATTTAAATCTAAGGCATGAAAGAATAAAAATCTTCAAAGTAAATGTGGTGAAAAACACTTGGCCTGGGGAAAGTGTAGGGGAAAACTATTGGCTTGGGGAAAGATTTTATGAAGAAGACTTCCATGGCAATTACAACAACAAAAATAAACAAATGGGACTTAATTAAACAGAAAAGTTTCTGCACAGTTAAGAAACAACAACCAAAGCACATAGACAACCTTCAGAATGGGAAAAGATATTTGCATATTGAAAACTGGACAAAAACTTGACAACTAGGATCTATAAAGAACACAAATTAATCAACAAAAATACCCCAACTATCCCATAAATCACTGGGCAAGAGAAATGAATAGAACCTTCTCTATGCTATTAATCTTGACACATTGGTTATAATCAATTTTGATCTTAAAAAACAATTATTTTTCTATTAAGAGAAGATTTCATAAGACTTCAAGGAAACAGAACCAGTCTTTGAAAAATTCATAATCTAAAAGAAAATAACTATAAAAATCACTCATGGAATATAAAATACAAAGAATAGGTTAAAGCTCTTAACCAGCTAATTTACAACAAGAAAATGAAATAGTTTAGAATTGTTGAGATCTAATATACAATTCAGAGAGTCCTAAAACTCCTAAGCAGGAGAAATTTTTAAAACTCCACACCTAAGTACATCATTGTGAAACTTCAGAAAACCAAAGAAAAGTATATCTTAATCAGCATTAAGACTGACAGAATTGGCTCGGCGCCTGTGGCTCAAGCGGCTAGGGCACCAGCCACATGCACCTAAGGTGGAGGGTTTGAATCCCCAGCCCGGGCCCGCCAAACAACAATGATGGCTGCAACCAAAAAATGGCCAGGCGTTGTGGCGGGCGCCTGTGGTCCCAGCTACTTGGGAGGCTGAGGCAGGAGACTCGCTTGAGCCCAGGAGTTGGAGGTTGCTGTGAGTGTGATGCCACGGCACTCTACCCAGGGGGATAGCTTGAGGCTCCGTCTCAAAAAAAAAAAAAAAAGACTGACAGAATTCTCAGTAGCAACAGAAACAGAAGATAACAATGATATATTCAATACTCTAGGAAAAACCCTATAAACCTAGAATTGTATATCAAGCAGAATTATTTTGAAGAAACAAGGGCAAAATAAAAATACATATTTCAAGTGGGAAAAAATATACATACACACCATCCAAAAGAAGTTTCTTCTTTTTTGGTATTTTAACTTTCTTTTTTGTATGCCATTCTCCTTCATGGTGAAAAGTGTTTTATAATTTTTTAGTGTGAACTTACCTTGAAAGGGTCCTTTTGTTAGAGAAGCTCTTTCAGCCAGGGTTGTGGAAGTATCCCTCCAAGTTGATTTTATGCTTGTTTCTTCTAGGCCTTCCAGATGCACCATGTCTGGGATCTTTTGGGGGTGGGTGGGAAATAAGAGGATCAACTTTTGGCTTTGAGATTCAATAATTCATAAATTCTATAAATGTAAACTCTAAACATTGTAAACTCTAAATACAGGGTTAGGGTTTCAAATTTTAATCACAGTTAAGTTTTTTTTTTTTTTTCCTTTTATCCAGAGATGGGACAATCTTCCTCATCTGCCTGCCCAGGAATGTTTTAAATTTTCCCTACTTCACTCTTTTCCTGAGAATAATGACTTTTCAGGGACAATGATTTTTTTTGCAGGTACTCACGTCCAGTTCCCACCATCAGTCCTTATTCCTGCTGTTATAAATGAAGGCCTCAAGTTACAGACATTAACACCATCTTGCCCAGGCTGAAGATGACCACAGCAAACAAATCATTTTCAGTGCTAAACCAGGAAAGTCCTGGTTAAACTAGCATGATCCGTTGCCCTACAACCCAGCACTTGTACTTAGGACCAGAAAAAAAATCAGTTCAACAAGTCACCGCTCTGGTTTTCAGGTTATTTTCATTTTTGGCACCTTGAAATTTCTCATTTCTTGAGTTTAGCTATATATTGAAAATAGTTACTTTATCCAGCATTGCTAGGCATTGGTAATGATAGCATTTTCATTTTACAGAAGTCTATCATTTTGCCAGCTCAGAAAGCAATGTTTAAAGGCTTTTCGCCAGTACAAAAGTGAAATTTGAGGACAAAAGTCACAGCCAGTTACCCTTGTGTGTATAAATATATGCTAAAGTGCTAGAGCGGTTCCCAAAGTTTTGTGATTAGCTCTACTACCTGCCCTACTGATCGTCCTTGCTCTAGGCCCCATTTCCTCTAACCTTGAGAATGTTCTAGAATTTTCTAGGCCTAGCTGCTTCTTGTAAGGCCTAGAAGGTAAACTCTCCCATTACAATCTAAACTCCCTGAAGGGAGACATGTTCCCTTATTTTATTCACTCCTGCATCTGTGGTATCTGGTACTCACAGGCACTCAGTAACAATTGACAGAAGGAACGAACGTCCCTAACACCAAACTGGCTTTCTGCGGCTGGCATGTCCTCCGATCCTACCCCATTTTCCTCACACTTGACAGAAGAGTGTCCAGGTTTCTAGGCTGTTGATGTCTCTTTCCCTGTTCTCCACAGATTTGCCCCTATTTTCTATTTCTGTAGGTGTTTCAATAGATTTTTTGATCAAGTTAAGTGTGATTGAGCTCTTCCCGTGTGTTCAAGGCGCCATTTTGAAACTAAAGTCTAGACATGTTAAGAGTATAATTTTTTTCTTTTTTTTTTTTTACTTCACCATATATTTAAGTATCGTTCCGGGGGCTTCGAAGGCATTTTTGAGGCGTTTCTGTAGGTCTGTGGGGCCCCGTGAGGGTGGCGCCTGCCTAGGGGCAAGGCTCCGGCCCACGCGCACCCCCTGACACAGCCCCAGCCACCCCCGACGTCCCCCTAACCCCCCCGCAGGGGGCGGGGGCGCTGTCACCCATTGGCTGAGGCGCCTACCGCGAGCACCCAGCGCAAGAGCCACTTCCCGGAGCCCCACGGGCCACGCCGCAGTCCGCCTGCGCCCGTCAGCCTCGCTACACGTCCCTCGGGGCTCCTCAGCCTGGTGGCCCACCTTCGATTGTCCTCACTCCTCTGCCTTCGGTTCTTTGCGGTTCGAAGCCCGGCAGCGGCTCCAGCAGCCCTAACAGCCCAGGAGTGCGCCAGACCGCAGCCTCTGCTCCTCGAGCCCCGTGGGCGGGAACTGCTGGCTACCGCCATCATGGTGAGTTGAGGGAGAGGCCTGAGGGGCGCAAGCCTGGCAGAGTTTTAGAGGGTGGGTGGAACTCGGTTTGGGGGTGCAGCGCGACAGGGGGGCTGAAAAGAGGTCGCCCCGGCTTTCCTGTTGTGGGGCGCCTGGCTGCTGGGTACGGGGAGCGGGGAGGCGGCCTCGCGGCGGTGCGGCCTACAAACAGGGGGAGGCGGCCGGATGCCTGGGGGTGTCGCGGCGGGGGCGGGCCCTGGGAACCCCGCCGTGCTCGCAGCGGCCCGGCGGGCCACGTGCAAGGTCCGCGGCTTCGCGCGGCGGCCGCTTCCCGCCTCAGTGTGGAGCCGACTGCGGGTGGGTTCTCGGCCCGTGCCCGGGAGGTTTCGGGGGCGAGGCGGCCCGCTCCGCCCCACCCCCACCCCGACCCCGGCCCCGGCCCTCGCCCTCGCCCTCGCCCTCCCGCGCCGCCGGGTGCAGCTCTCAGGCCGCCTCAGCGCCATGGCGTCGGGCCTGGCAGCGCGTCAAACGGCGCCGGCGCCGGCCGGCTGAGGAAATCGCTGTGGGGACGGCGAGGCCCGCGCCGCCTCAGGAAGTGGCTTTCTCCCGACCGTCGACGGGTTGGGGGTCTGCGGCTTTCGTGGGGGCACTGTGGGCGGCGGGCGCCTGTGGAGGGCTGGGGTGCGGGCGCGGGCGTCCTGAAGGCGGCGGGGAGCCGAGGGGGCCGCTCGCGCCGCTGGGGACCGGCCGCTGGTGCTCCCTCGGGGCGACAGGAGGCACAGAAAGCTGGCCGGACGCCATCGCTGCGGCACGCGGTTGGATTCAGCAGTTGCTATTGAGAATTTTCGAATTTTTTAATTCGGGGGAACACTTTTTTTCCTTCTGGATAAACAAGGAGTTTATGGCAAAATGCACATTTTGTGGGTCGTCTTTGGTGTCCGTTTATGTGAGTTTAGGTAAATGCGTAGATTGGGTCACTGCTACCTCAGGAACGTGTGTATTTAATACATTATCATAATTCTTACTATCTCTGTTTTTAGAGATAAACGAGAGGAAATTATGACCAATTTATATGTCTTTATATAAGTATTAAAATAAAAAATATTATTTTCTGTAAACAACTTGTGTAGTAAATGTTGTCTCCGTGGTAATACTTATTTAATAATCATCGTGATTTAAGTAGTAATAATTTACAATAGTTTTTTTCTTCAATTTTAGGTAAAGAGGATAAAAACTACTAGCTGTGTTGATTTTTTTTCTGATTATAAAAGTAGCATATTTACTTTTTTGAAATAATTGCTGTAAGAAAATAGACATTCGTTTTAATCCCAACCCCTATAACCACTGTTAAATGTTGATATTATGTATGTTTAGTTTCTTCTAGGTTATTTTTATGCACGTATTGCATATATTAATAGACGAGTGAATTTTATTTTACAAAAATTGTACTATGCTATAGAATACTATTTTACAACCTACATCTTTTCAACTGATGTAGTGGACATTATTCCAAAGACAACTTTAAAGCATATTTCATGTTGAAGATTGTACCATTCTATTCCCTTATGGTGAATAATTTTTCAGTATTAAAACAATGCTATAGGCTCGGCGCCTATAGCTCAATCGGCTAAGGCGCCAGCCACGTACACCTAAGGTGGTGGGTTCGAATCCCCAGCCCGGACCCGCCAAACAACAATGACGGCTGCAACCAAAAAAATAGCC